TTTGGCTATCAACATAAAAATTGATAGATTTTATTTTCTTATTTTAATAGATGTCGTTGTTTGTATATATTAGTTAAAAATTGTTACATTTTATTTTACTCATGAAAAAAGAACAAAGAACGTCAATTGGTTTTTAAGTTATGAAGTTATGGTCATGTGAAATGAAATTAGGACTATATTTTAAATATACGCGGTGCCTGAAATAAAAATATAGCAACCCGTTATGTGTACGAAATGCTATTTAATACTTTGGGGCCAGAAATAATCAAGGATTTTATATATGTTTATGGAATATATAAAATCCTTGGAAATAATAAAATTTGGAAATCATTTCAGTTACTTAGAGATCTATAAAATAAACTACGATTACGAAATAGTGATTTTTTAAAATTCATCGTATTAAGCTGAGTAATATTGAGGTATACATATCTTCTAATATTTGATTATTCAAGTAACTACCTATTTAGTTAAAGGATTGATTTCCATGCGCTGGCTCCGCAAAATCTGTGCCTATTTGATATGCGATTGAGATATATTTGCCTAATGCGTGTACCTTTAAATATTAAATAGGTATATTATAAGCATAATTTTTTTTAAGTGAAGATTATCATTATTTGTATCTCTTCGACCCTGTCCTTGCTTGAAGGATTGCGTCTACAGGTCCAGAACGTAGAGGCCCCTTAAAAGATTATTATTACAGTGTAGAAACAATATAGCCATTAGAAAATATACCCCTTGGATAAATAATAAAAATGGCTTAATATTGATACATTATGACAGCTTAACGAATATTATATTTTAAAAGTTGATATTAGATCAATAAATTAATGTTACAAATAAAAAAATACTGAGTATTACTAGGTGCCTAGTCTTCTGTATATTTAGGATATATACAAGTTTTAAGTTATACTAATCTTGCCAGCAATTACGAAGCAGAATTTGAAATACTTATATATAAATATGCTCTTTGTACGAAAAAAAATATATCACCATATTGTTACAAAGTTGATTTTTTACTTTGTTTTCGTTTTTAGGTTTGGTTTTTTGTATCTAAGGTAAGTAGGTAGTGCTTGATAAATGAGCTAGAGAAACAACATAGAGTCGGTATATCAACATGTTTTGTCTTATGCATTATAAACTAACGCAGGTATAATTCTCTTTTGGACTACAATAGATTACAACAAATTTAACGATTTTCTTTGTATTTCAAAAAGAATACCAAAAAAACGTAAATATACAATATAAATGATAAATGCGTTCTTATATTTATATCTATATTTTATGCATGCTAAAGGTTTAAAAAGACTGTCAAATCTAAGTATGCTAACATTATAATGATGAGTTTGTTTGATTGAACGTACTAATCTCAGGAACTACTAATCCTATTTGGTAAAAATCTGTTTGCATTAGAGAGCCTGTTTATTGAGGCAGGCCATAAGCTATATATCATCCGGAGAAGTGTACGATTCCCGTGGGATAGATTTGTTTTGTCTATAGACGAACCCGAAGCGAAGCAAGGGTGAGTCGCTAGTAATTTATATTATTAAGAAAGAATTGATCAAAATTGTCTCTAAATTTTTAATATGAATTGACTCTACATTTGAATACAACCAGTTATCATCCACAGTATGCATTGCTTATTTTCATGATATCCTTTATGATGCAAACCCTAAAAAGTTAAACATTTTACATTTATACAGTTAATAATTAAGATATTTATATTACAACTTGAAGTCAATAGTAATAATACATTATTCTACTACTTTTAACATTGCCGTCGGTTCTATAATAGGAAATTTAATTTTAAATATGAGCTTTAAAAATGACCACATACACTCACTTACACTGCAAAAGTAAAAAGAAAACAAAAAAATAAAAAAAAAACAAAACGAAAAAGAACAGTTTATTGAAATTTTTATAAAGCATAATAAAACAAATAATAAAAATAACATTATACAGGTAATTTAATGTTACATTAACATTACATTTTTGATATAAACGATAGCATAAAATCATTTACTCGTAGATTTTAACATAAGAATATAATGTGTGCTTTCTTCCCGTCGCGCAATGGACACTAATTCAAAATTTTAAAATATTGTGGGCACGTTACGAGCATTGTGTATAAAATGAAGAGTAAATAGAGCAAGAACTTTGCTTATTGAAATTCACCTTAAAATCTATTTTGTAATAAATATATGAGTACACAAAAATATTATAACAATTAATTTAAAAAAAAATTTATTAACAAAAAAAATACAAAATAAAAAAATAAATAAAACTAGACTCTACAATAATAATTTGACATAAATCACCACCTTGGTCCACAGAGTCTTCTTGTAGAGCACTTAAAGTAAGTCAAGTCCGGTATTGTCTTTATTACCACAATTGTCCAATAACTAGTAGCCTAATTAGAAGTATTTGTGGCAGTCTGTTATTATTGACTTTAAATCTTAATACTTAATATTAATTTAACGCTTAACATTAATTGTTACTTATTAATTGCTCACTCGAGGTGTCGCTCGTAAGTTAAGAAAAATAAATTTTAAATAAAAATATTCTCAATAACGGCCAAACGTTTAATCTCTTTACAAATGTAACCGACATAAATATTAAAAATTTTGCAAAACTTTTCCACTGCCAACAGTTTAGGTTAAAAAACGTGGGGGTCGGGAAATTTTAGCCTAAAAATATTTTCGATTAGACGCGGTTAGAATTTTAAAATTTAGATTTTGTATTATTAAAATTTATAATCACAAGAGCACGAGGAACGTGTATTGCGCCGCGCGGCCCGGCCGGCCGCCGCGACTCCAGACGGACGACTGAGACTGTCCGGCCCGCGCCGCCACCCCGGCCTTGCAACCCCCACCCACCCCCCACCCCTCGCGCCGCCCGACTTCGTTACGAGCCACTTGTAATCGCCGCGCGATTTTTCCGCCTAAGACAAATTAGGCGGGCCCGCGCCCACTGCCCTCCATGCCTTGTGTTTGGGCGGCTTCTTACGGCTAAGACGTTTTACTCACGCCTTAGCGCTTTCTTTCAAATGCACGCTCTACGGAAAGACTCTAAGAAAGACTTTGTCGTTTACACCAAGACTTTTGTATTTTATTCGTAGAAGCAAATGCTACATTAGTACGAACGATTGACTCTAATCTCACGCTAATATGAGACCGATTGTGTTGTTTACTGACATACATTATCGATGCTACACAAGTATAAATTATCGACACTCCAATGTTATGGCGGCGAACTGTTTTATTTTTAAATGGCATTTAATCGTCACTTTCACTTTCGACGATGCCGAGGCCGGGTTAATTGTAAATAAAATTCAATCATTCGCAAAAAATCCCCGTAATCGGCACCGACAATATCAATGAGAGATACGTATTTAAAGCACATTTTATGCATAATAATGGACTCTGGTGAAAGAGTATTTTTATAGGTAAATTCTGGTGGTTTTTATAAATGTAAACATTTCATATCTCAATCGAGTTTTAAATTTGTATAAATTTTGTTACTATATTTCAGAGTAAGAATATAGTAAGTTCACGTACTCAAACTAGGAAAAGGAGAGTTTCTAATTGCCAATGTGAATGGATACCTGCCTAAATTAATAATATAAATATATATTAATTTTATATATTTACACTTTCAAGATTTTACAGGGAAGAATTTCAAGTAACTTAGAATATTGTAAAAAAAGTTTACTGTACCAAAAACGGCGGTGAAAATTAAATAAATATTACAAGTAAAAGGTTAAATATAATAAAGATTTAAATAATACAGAGATAAATAAAACTTCTAAATGTGACTTTTTAAGTATTTCTTACCTTTTTAAAAACATGTTAGGTTAAAAATAAAAATAAAGCAGCCTACTATTGTCATATCATTTTATCACACAAAATGATCGAATAACATATAAACGATAAATAACATAAAACAAAATGGTTTTATTTATCAATAAATACAATTTCCGCGATTATTTTCAGTTGGCAATATTTGGAACATCAAGTTGGATTTATAAGGCTATTTTTCACATGAGTATTAAAGTCGCGTGGAACCACGGGAATAAATTGATATGATTCTTTTATCTGAGCGCAGTCCAGCTGTGGCCGCAAGGTCGATGAACTCGCTACGGGTTTTAATAAGCAATCAATTACAAAAATTGGAAAGAGGTTTTCTAGTCTCTAAAACGTAGTTAAATTTTATCTATGGATGGACTCTACTTTTGTTTAGAGTTTTTTTTTTAATTTTAAAAGTATTAGTTCGCGAATTGAAATTTTGTAAAACGAGTGAGCATTTAATTTTACGTATTTCACTGAATTAATCAAAAAAGAAAATTAAGATTTAACTTAAAAAAAAAACTACTTTTAAAAATTCGAAAATTTATAGTTTCATATCTTTTATCGTACCAATTTTATTATAAAAAAATATCTTTATATAAAAATGTAGAACGATACTATATAAAAAATATGAATTTAGTAAAGCATTTATTTTACCAATTTCAACAAAAAATCTGATATGAAATATAAATTTTTGAATCATAACAACTCTACGAATAAATCTACTAAGTATACAAAAATAAAAACAATAACACAAAACAGACTGCTTTCGTCACAAGTTACCTGGTCTTATGTTGGTATGTACAAATCTTCTTTATTCTTCTATAATAGGAATCACGAAACTTTATTTAAATTTGTATTTTCGAATTTTATCAATATTTGGGCATCACAAAAAATGAACAACAATCAACTATCGAAACCTTACCAATTAACTTATATTTAAAAGTTTCTAAACGTTAACACAGTTCGGAAAATTCAAGTTCTTATCACTTATATATTATCTTCTAACGTCTAATCACCCGAGCTAAATTTCGGGTGTGCGCTACTTACTGAAATCATAAAATAAAAGATTTAACGCGACGGAGGAACTTAATACCACTTACAGACTATGCGGCAAAACGAGCCGAATATTTACATTGAAGAAAAAAAATGAGGTCAATCGGAGGTTACGGGCAACGCAGCCGGACGGCGCGGGCCGCGACGGGATGTGGCGTCCTCGCGCCCAGCCGCCCCCGCCCTGCCGCCCGCCGCCACGTGCGCGCACCCACGAGCGGGACGCCCTATCAAACTCTACACACGCAAGCCAAGGACGCAACTACTCCTTTTTCAATTTACTATATTTACCGATTTTTATTATTTTTTCGCATTTCGATATTTTATTTTTTAGTTGATGCGCTCCGCAACTCACCTGTTGTGCTTGACCCGTTTCGATCTGTCGACCGATCACATGATCGACGATTTTGGGTGCTTTTATTATGTGTACGTTGTTGTGTACGAAGTTTCTTTGAGTAACATTTTTAAAAAATAGCATACCTTTTCTAAAATGTTAAAAGTCGTAAAAATACGTTGCTAGCAAAATCATGGTCACTACGCACATAGTAAATAAATCTGGTGGTAAAAATAAAATCCTTGCTACTTTAGCTCTTTTCAATAATTAAATAAAATCTTTTATTAATAAAACTTGTCAGTATTTTGTGAATATTTTATTGCAAAACTAGAAGAGAATAGAAAAATATTTTATTTATTTTTTTAGTATAAGGTGCTGCCATTGTAGGATGGCGTCGGATAGCAGAACTATACATAATGCGACACTAGCGCCGCGTCAATACATACTATAAACCGATGGTTCATTTCTAACGTGTTATTCTTTTTATTTTTAATCGTGAAAGTGCAACGTTCACTTTGCCTGGCATTCAACGGCCATTTTCGTTTGCTATTTCTTTTTCGTTTTCATTGGTTTTTCACAGACGTTTTGATCATGTCGCCGAATTGCCGTGTACCTTTCCTACGTATTGTAAAGTGCATAACACTTCCACTATTCATACAGTTATCATTTTAAAAACAAAACAATGCACGTAAATTCTTCAATAATGTTTATGTTAATAATATATTATAAATTATTATTTTTAATATTATATTATTTCATAATTTATATTATAATTACAAGCTTATTATAATAGATGGCGCTATGAGTCCAAAAAGAAGACATTTCTTAATTTGTACATTTGGAATGCTTAATATAAAACTTTAATTAAGATCACTTATATAGGATTACAATTAAAATTTTAGAATTTTATTTTATTAGGTAACTACAAAATAGCTACAATGTCCATGTTATTTCGTATAATAATTAAATATTTTTAGTGTAACACTTTAGCGAATTAATATTATAAAATTATAAAATATGAAATCTGTTTAAATCCTAAATATTTTTTTTAATATCATTCATATAAAAACTCTACATACTTTCAACATAAAAATATCAACTTAATTCCCCGCTCGAGTAAGAGATCTTAAAATAGGTATTTTTAAAGATAAATCTTGATTTTAAAAAGCTCAGGATATTTAAAATAAGACTGTTATTATATTTATTCAAGGTCTTTTTTATTTAGATTTTTCACAACGCGACGTTTCGAATGCTTTACAGCAAATATAGTCACGGGAGAGATCTAAGAGAGTATTATGTAAACTTAGGTTAATCAAATAGAATACCATTCTTTGTATTATTATTATTTAATTATTAATATAATTTCAATATCTAATTATAAAAATAATTTTAATTTTTACCCAACGCTCTTATTTCTGTTCGATATTATATGTTTACATATTATTTAACATAGAGGTCGCTACTAGAAGCTTCGGGTTATCTTATTTCATTCAGCCATTCCTCTCATCTGGAACTCGCAGGCGAACCGCGATCTTATTAACCTTTATTCGATACAACGTTTGAAACGTTTGAAATAAATCTTCACTTAATGTTACAATATACTAATCTTATAAGGGATTTTTATGGATTTAAATTCATATTTGTAAAATATTTGAATTCGTAAATTTCATGAGTTATAAGTCAGATCGATAAAAATATTAATACCTAGAGGTTATAATATTTTAATTTTCTTAAATAAACAGTTTATTCATTAATATAATTAATTGATATAATGAATGCAATGAAATTAATTTCCCCGTCCGTGAGAAAGCTACCACCAGATACAGTTCCATTGAGAAGAGCAGGCGAGAAACTCTTAAATCTATACTTATTATAAAAATAAGTCCCCCGGCCGCGTCTTTCTGTCCTCCTGTCTGTCCTCCTGTCTGTCTGTACGCGATAAACTCGAAAACTACTGAACGGATTTTTATACGGTTTTCAACAATAGAAAGAGTAATTCTTGAGGAAGGTTTAGGTATATAATTTATTATGCTTTTATGTAAATTAGCTGAAATACGGCGACAAATGTTGAAGAGGTCGCAAAAAATCTCGCCAAATGGGAACTTTCCACGCGAACGCCGCGTAAACTAGCAAAGATACAGTTAAGTAATGTACTAGAGAATTCAAAATCTATAAAAATGCTACAAAAAAGTCCGCGATAGCATATCTCTATCTCTTACGGTTGACTTACAATAACCACTTTTATGTTAATCTATACTTATTATAAAAATAAGTCCCCCGGCCGCGTCTTTCTGTCCTCCTGTCTGTCCTCCTGTCTGTCTGTACGCGATAAACTCGAAAACTACTGAACGGATTTTTATACGGTTTTCAACAATAGAAAGAGTAATTCTTGAGGAAGGTTTAGGTATATAATTTATTATGCTTTTATGTAAATTAGCTGAAATACGGCGACAAATGTTGAAGAGGTCGCAAAAAATCTCGCCAAATGGGAACTTTCCACGCGAACGCCGCGTAAACTAGCAAAGATACAGTTAAGTAATGTACTAGAGAATTCAAAATCTATAAAAATGCTACAAAAAAGTCCGCGATAGCATATCTCTATCTCTTACGGTTGACTTACAATAACCACTTTTATGTTAACATTTTTAATTAAAAACATTACGTTATTTTCAAAGTTATTTTCTTTAGTTCGGTATTAATCCTTATCCAAATGAATATTTTAGTTAGCTTAGTCATTTAATGCAGATTAAAATTGCTCTTTACACTAAATCAATCAGATGAATAGTTTTTGAGATATCGTTGTTAGAAGTAATTAGTAGCGAAACATTTTTAATGCTTGGCGAGCATTGAGATGCCTACGGCGAGTCCATCCCCTCTGCCCCGCATCGCTCGACCGCCTGCTCAAGCTATATAAACCGGGCGATGTAGCGCGCGATCCTAGGATACTTTTTACCGCGGGAAAATATCTTATTTCTGAGGAAAAATACAAAAACTGCAATGTAAGAGTATACTAATATGTAACACCTAAGAATTTAGTTTTTGGTCATCTGAACGCGGGCGGAGCCGCGGGCAATGCTAGTTAACAATATTTTTTAAGTAACAGCTATCCTGTATACAAGTCAATTTTACTTAATTCATACATCATTTGTACGTGAAACAATAAAATCTTGCACATATTAATATATTTTATTTAGTGATGTATCTATTTTTAAATTTCGTATTTAAATATTGTTTCTGAGTCAAGCTATGGAATTTGATTAGGTAATTAGTAAGAATTTATAATAAAATTAAAAATTAAAAGGTAAAACTCAAAATTTAAGCGCAGGTACAACGTTTTATTTTAATATTAAGTAATTATTTTTCTTATCAAAATAAAAACGTATTTTTTTATTATTTCCATTACTAGCAACTTTTCTGTCCAATATTTCCACCTAAACACACAAAACGTGTCGTCCAAACGGCCGCAGGTGTTTTGGGCGTAGCAACGATTGCTTGCGATGAACACAATGAACTTAATTTGTAATAAATACTTAGTTTGTTTATTTATACTGTAAATAGTTTTTACATAGTATTTTCGAAGAATTACATATTAACTTTATGTTGAACATCTCAAGATTCACGAAAACTGGTAGTTTCATGGTACTGGATCTGGACATTCTGCATTATAATTCCCCAAAACCAAACTTTTACCACATTTCATCTAAATCGGTTCAGTAGATCCAGAGATTACCCCCTGCAACCTCACAAACTCACAAGCTGACAAACTTTACCTCTTTATAATATTAGTATAGATTAAGTTATAATATAATATAATAATAAACACTGCTAATAATTTAAAGACAATAATTTTTCTTTTGTTTGTAATTTTTTTCTTTTTGTTTTTTTTTGACGTAAGTGAATCTTAATAAGCTCTAATAAATATTACTAAGGAGTTATTTTATTCAAATGCTTTACTGAAAACAAAAATGGTATTAAAGGATTAATATGACTTAAGAATTATTCAATAATAATTATATTATATTAATACTAACGACTCACCCTCGCTCCGCTCGGGTTATATAAATGTGATCCCAATCAATATTGATCTGCCTATAATTACTGTCTATATCATAATTCAAAGATAAAAATTCAGTCCCATGTAGTAGAAATCATAGTAAACCTTGTTCATAATTTAACGAGTACGTAAATCCTTGGGAAAGTGTATTACTCATTTTATACTGGCATTAATAGTTTATCTCCAGTAACCTAAGAAAACATATCTATAGTTGTCTGCAAATATTTTGCCTTATCTTTTTGATTTTATTGCATGCACAAAAAGTCGAATATGGTACTTTTATCCGTAGTATTTTTAGATGCACTCTTACACCCCTATTCAGGTTTCCGACGAACGTTCCATTGACAACCGCAATCGATTGCAGTGCAAAAACTACCATTTTAGTATAAATAAAGACCTACGTAATTTATAATCGATAGTAACTTATAAATATTCTATTTCATAACAATTATTAAGCAGGATTATCAAACTATTTATTATTTTAATATTTTAATAGCTTAAATTTATACTAAAATGTCAATCTTGATTATATTTATTCTGTACTAGCATTACCCGTGGCTCCGCCCGCGTTCAGATGACTAAATCCAAATTTTTATGTTTTACAGTTAGTATACTCTTTACATTGCAGTTTTTACATTTCTCAGAAATGAACCATACTAAATTTTATCAAAGTCCCTCCAGTAGTTTTTCTGTGATGCGGTAACAGACAGACAGACAAATGTTCTAAAAACTATAGATTCGACCTCTGTATCGATAATAATGTTTATTTCAATAAGATTTTCTAAAAAATATTTAATGTACAGATTCGGCTTAGTTACAATTTTATTATATAATGTACAGATGATAGAGTCTAAAATGCTCCCATTTACAGTATATTTTTTCAGTTTTTAAACACATTCTTACATTCTTAGTAGTTAATTTTTAAGGAACCATAAAGTAACAGAAGGCTATAAAGTTACTTACTTACTTGCCTGCTTATGACGAGGTAATTTCATACACAAAAATTTAAAATGTTTCCTGTGTACTGAATTTATACAAACTTCTTCAAAATGTAGATTCTTTCTTAAAACAACAGTAGCAATTGGATTAA